TGTCACTGACACACATTTGGAGACCGCACCATTTATCATTGTTAAGGGACCTGTCTGGGCTTTGTTTAGTATGACTCTCCATTCACCGCTCACTAGGGCGCCCGTCACATGGAAATCCACTAACACGTCTTGCTTTAACCCCCTCCGTCCCTGACATTAACTGCCAGCACTGATTACAGATAACGGACTGCGTCCTGCGGACTGACACGGCGCTCAGTGCTTTTTTGTCCCTCTGCCCCTCCTCCTTCCACACACTTCCTTTTTTAAGGCCTTACATAAAGATCTGTATAAATGTACGTTTTAACCAAGGACTTAATTAGGTGTGATAGACCCCATAGAGAAACCAGAGGGGCCCCCGTCACTTTTTTCTCCATCCCAAAGGCAGTTCCTCTAGTGATTGAGAATCTCTAGAAAACCCGTGTGGAAGCAAAATAGGATTCTCCTTCTACACATACATTAAATGTATCCAAAAATATCTGCCAAATGCTATTTCTACAATGCCCCAGCCAGTGCGGGGCCCCACAGCAGTCGTTTGGCTTGATATGGCTGTAGTTGTGCCATTAGTTTAGCTACTATAAAACATTATTTTGCTGTTTAATATACCAAGAAAAATGGGAAGGCAACGCGGTGCATAAAGGTCTGACACCAGCGTGAAATAAACACCTTCATAAATAAAACGAAGCCTGAAGAAGGAGTGCAAGAGTGAAAGAACTTGTGTTGGGTGAAAGAGCTTGTGTTGGGTGAAAGAGCTTGTGTTGAGGCTCGTGTAAAGCTGGCCATGCACTGGCCATATTTCAGCCAGGTCCTACCGACTCGGAAATTAGACCAGTGTCTGGCCCCGTTGAGACCCCCCTTCCCTTAGAAGGGGCTTCCCTGTGCATGACGATCCCACCAAATAAGTCATAATGTGCTGCACTAAAACATGTGTTACATTGTTACCATATGGTTTGGTGCCATTTCACGCATCTAAAAGCACATGGTACAGCACCACAAAGAATAGCATTACAGCACATCTTACCAAGTGCATATGTTTTGGTGTCTTTTGCTGCAGCTCACATGTGAACAGGAGCTTAATGCCATTGTCTTGAACACATGTAAACCTCCTAAAAATTTCAATCAAGAAGAAGAAAATTGTTCACCTTTTTGCATCATTTCCTTCCCTATTCAACAAAAAAATTAAGGAATAAATGCCAACATGCACTCCAATTTTTTGGGAAGGAGGCCAACGTACACTACAATATTTGGGGAAGAAGGCCATGGTACACCCCAATGTTTTGGGAAGAAGGCCATGGTACACTCCAATGTTTTGGAAAGAAGGCCATGGTACACTCCAATGTTTTGGGAAGAAGGCCAATGTACACTCCAATGTTTTGGAAAGAAGGCCATGGTACACTACAATGTTTTGGGAAGAAGGCCATGGTACACTACAATGTTTTGGGAAGAAGGCCATGGTACACTACAATATTTTGGGAAGAAGGCCATGGTACACTCCAATGTTGTGGGAAGAAGGCCATAGTACACTCCAATGTTTTGGGAAGAAGGCCATGGTACACCCCAATGTTTTGGGAAGAAGGCCATGGTACACTCCAATGTTTTGGAAAGAAGGCCATGGTACACTCCAATGTTTTGATAAGAAGGCCAAGGTACACTCCAATGTTTTGATAAGAAGGCCAAGATACACTCCAATTTTTTCTAAAGAGTGCATATGTACACTCCAATTTTTTTGGAAGATGGCCAACCTACCCCCAGATTAGCAAATGATCTCATTGAAATGTTTGTGGGCACCTTTAGTGCCAGCAGCAGATCACATCTAGATGTGACTTGTGTGCCGTTTGCAACCTCACCAGTTTCAGGAAAGGTGAGGTGACTCCATAGTGATGCTGAGTCACACTGACATAACATAGGACCCCCCTGTCCCACCCACCCCCTACGCCACGCTCACAGATAAATAAACCGTGTGTATTGTTAGCAGCTCGGACCTGTCACCGTGTGATGAATGGCTTCAATTTGGAGGCGGCTTTAAGCTGTCATTCCTGATCACAC